CTTGTTTATCAAATTAATATTTGATTAAACAGTTACCAATAAGAGATCTGCATGTTTGTGTTTTTAACACTTAATAATAGAGTTATTAAGTACTTAATAACTTGGTCATTTTTCAAAATAATTTTTACGCCCATCACTACTACTATCTGTATCTAACCAACATCACCATTAATACCAAAAAGGCAAAGAACACACCAAATAACTGAAATAGCACAATATTTTTAATTTTTCAATTCAGCAAAATTTTCATTTCCAAAAATCAATCATAGAATTTTAATTAGATTTTTGTTAAATATAATGATTTAAAACAAAGTTCATTAGCAGCAGCTAAATAATAATTTCGGAGCATCATCATCAGTGTAATTACCAAATTCAGCTTTACTTACCTGTATATAAAATCTTTGAATTGTTAAATGATATATGTTAATAATGATTGATTTATATATATGTCACATTCATCTTGTTTTGTTGCACCAGTCAAAGCATTCTTAAAATATGTACAATGAGAATATAGGATGGATGAATGTGCATGAAATTCTTTAATATTTGGTTCTATACCAATGTATATCTTTACATCATAAAAATCTTCAGTATTTAATAATCTTTCATGTTCATTAAAATATTTTTCATATATTGAATTCATTTTTAAAAATTTTAAAAAAAAAGTATTTTGTGTAATAAATAATTACATTTTGAATGTAATAAATATATCACATGATATTATAATAGTTTTAATTTATAGAATAAACACTTATTATTAACAACCTAATTAATACGAAAAATGATGTCTTACCATTAAAATACATTAGTAAACTTGTGAATGATTTAACAAAAGTTATTGAATTGAATCATATTTTTATGATATAGAAATTAGAGTTGGAGATGTGAGGGATGTCAAAATTTTAAAGCTCATTCTAGCATTTTGAAAAGCAAGATTTCATATTTTAAAACTACTTTATCAAACAATTTGGTAGAAAAATCTGATGATTATATTATCTCCAAAAGTATTTGACGTAAGATTATTTTAATTTAATATTAATAATTTCGGGTCTGATCGACAATTACTTCATCGTTGACAATTCATTTCATTGACAGTTTACTTCGCTGACAATTATTTCGTCAACAGTCATTTCGTCGACAGTTCACATAATATTAGCATAACATATGCATTGATTATAATTATTAATATAATTTGTTTAGTTGTTAATCCTGATTGAATCTAGGATCATGATTTCAGAAGCATCAAGAAATTTAGATAAAAGGAAAATTTGGATACTAATTAGTTGGCAAATATATTAATGACTGAATTGATAAACATTTCCCGAGTTTTGATTCAAAAGGTAGTTAGAAATAATGACAACAATGAAATAACATTAATAATGTTAATAAAAATAAAGGGTAAAGCATCATCTTTTGCTAGAGTAGAAGATAATTCGTAATTACTAATTACTCCAAGTTTTATTAAATCCTTAAATATGCATTGATCTCTACCAATGGTAATAATAAAAACAGAGTTCAGAACCTAAATACGGAATACAAATACAGAACAATATACTAATAATAATAATACTAATATTAATATAAAAAACGTAAAACACATGGAAAACCAGTATTAGTATATATGTTTTGTATCATTAGTATTAGATCATAATAATTACATACCGCACATACAATAAGAACTACAACAAAATTATAAATAAAAACATCTTTCAGAACTTTTTATAATTGTGGTATAAAAATATTCAACTTTGCCAATTTCCATTTATCTCAATAACAAATAATTCAAATAACTTTTATTTGAATAGAAACTTTAAAATAATAAATAATTGACTTTGTCGCTGTCCTTCTAGTTGTTAATTAAAACAAACTGTTTTTACTTTTTCATAATGATTTTTTCTAAAAAAGTAATCGCTGAAATTTGAAAGAAAATATTTTTTTTAAAGGCAATCAGAAATCCACGCTTCCAATTCAACTAATGTAGTGGAACAATGATCTTGCATTTGCGAAAATCAAGGAAAACCCCATTTTTTATTCCAAATATAAATTTATTCAATTCGTCAACAAAAGGATTTTTTTTATTAAATACATTTTTATATTATGCAAACGTTATTGAATAACATTTTTAATAAACGAAAATATTTTTTAACATTTTTAAACTATAAATGATAGGAACGTAAAATTTTGGTTCCTTGTTTTTTAACTACTATCTTTCAGATAGTCTAAATAACAATTATTTGACCTTGACTATCGGCGTAATAAATTCTTGAAGAAAGCCAGTTTGGGCTTTTCGATATTTTCACAAGAATGATCTTATTTAATAAAGATGGGTAGAAATAACCTATAAGGCCTTTGATATGGATGCCACGTTGCAAGCCATGTATATATCCAGAGCTTTGCAAACGCACTAACATGAAATTTCTATAAAATTGAAAAAACAACGCTTATATATTTTAGAAAATTATGTCGTGTAACTCGATTGTTTATTAGAATTTGGAATTATACCTATTACTATTTCAAAATGAGTAGTGTTAATCTTGAAAAAATCTATAAAGCTTATGAAGACATAGATGCAGCAGGGAATGAAGAAGATTCGGTATTTATACTCTTACATTTTAACATTGAAAAAAGTTACCTTGTTTATTAACGCTCAAAAATTTTATAGCTTGCCAAAGTTAAAGGATCATATGAAGCTTTAATTGCTGCAGCACATGGTGAAAGTAATTGCAAACGACTAGCAGCACAATTTATTCCACGTTTCTTTGGAAAGTTTCCTGGCTTTCATGAGACTGCAATAGATGCTTTATTTGATTTATGCGAGGATCAAGATTTGAATGTAAGAAATTTTTTTTTTTTATACATGTATGAAAAATTTAATTACTGACAATAGTTTATATAAAAGGTTCGATTGACTGTTATAAAACACTTGCCTAATGTGGTAAAAGAATCAAAAAAATATTCATTACGAATAACTGACGCACTTGTACAATTACTTCAAAATGGCAGGTATTAAATTTAATTATTATAAACGTGTATATATTAAAAGTATAAACATAATTAAATTATTTAAATGTAATAGAAAGCTCTCAAGAATTATTAGTAGTTAAAAAGGCTATTGAACAAGTTATTCGCATAGATCCACAAGCATCATTACGATTTATAATTCAACAAGCAATTGTTGGTTCAACAGAGGTTAAGAAACATACAATTAATTTTTTATCAGTAGATTTAAATAAATTTAAAAATGAATTATTTGATCAGTATAAAGATTTGGAACAATTTTTGGCAGATGAAATACAAAAAGTAAGGAGAAAATTAAAACATCATTAAATATTAAGCATATTAAGCATACTCTGTTAGTAAATCAATTTCACATACGCACACATACACACATGCACAAATACACACACACACACACACAAATACACATATTTAACTTCAGGTTCTTCATGAAGCTGAATTCTTTGAATTAGAAATCTTTATTAGCATGTTATCTTCTTTAAAGGTTTATGGAAATAACAAAAGTAAATTGCAAGATTTATCAAATTCATTAATAAATGCGATTGTAACTGATAAAGAAACATTTGATGTAGGTAATATATAAATTTCAATTATTAAATGCATACATAATTTATTAAAAATTGAAATTTTTTTTTATACACAGCCCATTGACGAAAAAATTTTTCAAAAATTTGTGTTATGTGGGAAAACTATCCTTAAATTTTTTGAGGTAATATACTTAAAACATGTTTATAAATACAAATTAAATTATTGTATTTATTTTTTTAGATCTTTATGTTAATTAGAAATTTAAAATATATATTAATTTGTGGAATAGAATGGTGTATCTGGAACAGAATTTTTGACATTATTGATAAAGATTTTACCTTATAAAATATATTCAAAACTAAATGAGAAACAACAAATAACAGTTTTGCACTATTTAGCTGAATGCGCAAGTACAAGTCTTAATGAAGAAACTATGAAAGCAGCTGCCCCACTAATTAAAGACCTATTTATTGTGTGTATTAGATTTTTTTTTAACTTTTGATTATTCTTTGAATAAATTTATTGAAATTAATTGTATATTTTATAGAATGAGATACCAGCTCCACCTGAAGAAGCAATAGCAGAAGATCCAAAATTAAACTTACCTAAAGTTGAATCTATTGTATACTCTTTGTATGCTTTTGCTTCAAAGGTATTCATTTATTTTATTTAATATGGAATCTTTTTGTCTTTTCTTTTTTAATTGATTATATATAATGGCTTACATTATAGATTCCTGATGTTAGTGAAGGCGAACAAATTAGTTCACGGTTAGTTTATAATTATTTTATTTAATAAATCAGACAAATGATTCCTTCGAAATATTTATAAAGAGGGTTTTATTATAGATTTCGTTATCTTTATTCATTTGCTATCACATGTCTTCAGCGTATTAGAAATACAATGAATGATTTACAAAAACAACAACAAAAAGATCAAGAGAGCTTGGAAGTATGTTTAATTAATTGATTATTCATTATTAACAACTTATTCATTTATTTTTAAATCAATCAATTAATAACTTTCTATTATTGTATAGAAAGTAAAAAAGGCAGAAAATGAACGGGTGGTGACAAATAATATATTGGAGATGGTCAAGGTATTGTTTGTTGATTGATTTAAGGATATAAACATTCGAAGTTTAATATATTAATGACCTTAATTAACATCATCTGTTGATCAGGAATTGATGAAACCAGCAAAAAATCGGTTTTACAAAAAAATAGCATTATCTTGGAAAAAACCGATACAAACTAGTACAGCATCATCATCATCACCAACAATAACTAAATCATCAAAAGAAACTAAAAGATCCATTGAGTCAAATGTGACAACACTGCCAACAAGAAATAAAATACAAAAAACATCTAAAGATCCACCTAATATAAGGTCTCAAAATTTCAAGACATCTCATATTATTCGTCAATCTAATAAAATGAGTCCTAAACATGGTGGTTCAAGCGGTAATATGAGGAATAATGGTGGTGCAAGATCTTTTAAGATTGATCGAAACAGTAATAAAGAAAGGAATATATATGTTCCTCCACCACGTAGAGGCACATGAAGTAAATATGAATGATTTTTTTTAACGATAATTGTTTCACACTTTTTCCTATTTTCATTTTTTTTTTTTTAATATTATTTATTGCATGTATTACTTTTTTTTTTTGAGTTTCAAGATTTACTTATGAAATCATTATATAGGATAATTTATGTATATTATACTTTATAATAACTAAGAAAGAAAAATTAAACTGGAACATTTTCTCTAATTATTTAATTATTATAGAATATATATACATGCATTTATATGACACTTATGGACAAAAAAATAAAGACGCTTGCCAACCATCAAAAATAACTAAGCATGACATAATAAAAAGTCATCGTTTCACTAATGCACCAAATATCTTTGTTAAATGAATGCTTCACGAAGAGTCAAAGAAATCCGACTAAAATTTTAAATTATTTGAATTGATTTTTCTAAAAAAAAATTTTACATAATGTGACTCTCCATGAATTAATTTACCAACCACGCTTTGTGAAAACCTGCAAGTGGATTTTTTTCAAACCACCTCTTTTTTTTTAATTTTTAAATGATGCGGCGTGGTCACGGATCTTGAAATAGCTTCTTTAATGATAATAATAATAATAATAATAATAGCTTATAGTACATGTTAATAAATAATTAAACATACATAATTACCATTGTATTGCAACTAGTTAGATTACGAGTTTGTTCATCTTCTTTTAATGTTAATCAGTTAAATTACTCGTACTTGAAAAGTTGGTTTTTTTTATCCATAATGATTAAATGATTAAATGAAAATATTCAAATATTCGTATACAAATTTGCACTATAATATAAATAAAGTTTTATACCTTTTCCAATCTAAAAACTTAATAGGGCCTTATATACTATACTACAAACCTTGATCGCAGTATTAGTATTTCTATGATCTTCGCTCAATTTCTAAAGAATACTACTGATACTCTCTACCTGTGTTTTGCCTTGCTTTCGCTCTGCTAGCTATTGCGGATCGCCTCAAAATCCTTTTCTCCGGGTAAAGGTTCTTTCTTTATATAGTTGATTTATGTTAGTACTTTATAAAAAAATCATACATGAAATGTATTGTAATCATGATCACGATACGATTTGAATTACTTGAAGTAGGAATTGTAAATTCACTATTTATAGCTTCATTGTTGTTAAACATTCCTTAGAAAAATCAGGTAATTCCTTAATAGTTGGTCTATTATATGAACAATCATCGCATCATTTCTACATATTATTTTGGCATTCACGATAATATTGATGGATTTAGTCTATTGCATATTTTTAAGATTAAACCAGTCAGGGTTGTGAGATTTATTATCAAAGGATGGATGACCTGCAAATATCTCCACGTCAACGTCCCAACACTATAAATAGCTGACTCTTTTGTATGTTTTACTCCTCGAAAAACTTTAGATGCCATAAATTTTATTTGATAAATTGGTCCTGATAATCCTAATTTGTAATATAGCAACCACCTCCCGCTACCAGTATATTACCAATGTATTAAATCTTCTTCATGTATATGATATAATGAACAACACAAATAATTAAACATTATAAATCTATCTTTTTGGGACACAACTTTAAAACCATTGCATAATTTCCGTTTTCTAGGAATTGTGTTATAAAATAACTAGCAATCAAGTTTGATTTTAATTATACAATAATCCAATATCTGAAATTATTGTATTCAATAATATAATATCTATTTGCATTTACTACCAAACCCTCCTTTTGACAAATATCTGGTATAGATCCCCTTTTTTTTTTAATCAATATTAGATAAAAATAAACAACTAATAAAGATAACTATTAATAAAAATTAATTGTAAATACTAAAATGATAGATATGTTTAATCGTTCATTGACAATTTACCAATAATTTCTAAATTTTATGATTATGGAAATTTCCAACTGTACACACATATCAAGTAATAACTATATTAATATGATATAATTAACTTGATTTATAATTTTAATGGCCTTTAAAATATTTAAAGAGTTAGCATTTTATGATTTAAAATTCATTTGCCTGGAAAGTGCGCATTAGATTGGGTATGGGATTTCGCTTCCGAGTTTAAGAGATAGTAGAACCAACAATCTACCTGATAAAGCCATTTTTTAATAATGATACACATGAACGAATTCAGCAACGCAAAATAATCTTTCTTTTAAAAATTAAATTTTATGTAAATAAAGCAATAAAATGGAGGTTAATATTATATTGTGTATGGGGTATGCTATAGCAAAGTGAACATAAAGCCCGCAAGTTAGTTTCAATGAAAAGAAAATGATTGGCCAATGATAATTGAAAATGGTTAATAGTAATCTTTTCAGGAATGAAATATCTGCAACGAACTGCAAGGTGTATTTTCTGGTCAACTTTTTTTTTTTTTGTCATTTTAATTATATGTGTTGAATGAGAAACTTTGTAGCTTGACATTTTTACTTATCATTAATTTCCAACGCTGCTGTGAAACAAACATTTTTGTTTTTCATTTTTATCCGAACGGTTTATATGACAAATTATTATTATAACTTAAAATATAAACAAAAAAAGAATAAATTTAATAATGCCTTCTGAATCTACTGAATTAATGAAACGTCTTGTAAAAGAGGCTTCGCAAGTTAGATTCATACCTAGTGCGACCTTAACAACACATTATCGTTTTGCTAATTCTTTGTTAACACAGGTAATTTTAATTTCAAAAAGCAAAATAAAATTTTTATCCAATTATATACTTAATATAATACTACTTATTTACATAGGCAAAACATTATAAAAAAGAAAACGATCTTATTAATGCGTATAAATTCTACAGGCGATATGTCACGTAGGTTATTTTAATTTTAAACTTTTTTGATTTTATATCAATATTAATAATACATACAAATACATAAAGGCTAGTTTTAGAAAAATTACCTGAACATCCAGAATATGGAAATCCAGAACACAAGTTAGAAAAACAAGAACTAGTAAAAGTAAAGAGAAAAAAACAAAATTAATATTTGACTTTGTTATTTTCAAAAAATTGATAACTCAAATTTTTTGTGTATAATTACTATGAATGATAGAATGCTAATTTAGCCTTGATAGAGATGCAAAATATGGAACCAATTTTAGATAGTTATTTTCGCCGTGTGGAAGCGGGAGAAGCATTGAAGAAAGAACAAGCAACGAGCTGTTTAAATGTTCCTAAAACATCAGAACATTATAAAAGAAAGCAACAAATACAAAAACAGGATCAAGGGGATCAGGATCAGGAGTGTTTCAATATTTCAAGAAATATTGAGAATATTTATCAGCATGAAACTACACATAATGAAATTTACAAATCTTATCCAACAAATTGGGGTTTAGTCAATGAATCAAAAGACATTGTCCCAAGTTCTTATTCAACAGATTCTTCGTAAGATATCATTCATTATATTTAAACTATTGTTGTTACTTATTTTGTTTAAATGATATATGAATATTGATATGAATACATCTTATACAGATTAAGCGTCTCTGATCAAAAACCACATCATAATTCACATATTCGTTACGAAGTACTTATTGTCATTTTATTATTATTTTATTATTATTTGATGATTTTTTATGAATATTTATTCCCTTTGAATTTACCAAAAGATTTTTATTGTTATATTGAAAGCATTATGACACAAATCAAAATGATGGGTAAAAATCAAAAAATCAAGAATTACATATATATCTCCCTTTAAATATAATCAAAATATATTCAATGATTCAAATTCGAATATACATATTGTAGATATATTTATCCTGCTTCCACTTTCGATAATGCTCCTCCATTAATACCACCAAAAATTAAAGACTCACCGCCTAAATTACCACCTAAACCAAATGAATATCTATATGATGCATCACCATCACATTCACCACGCAGATCTTCAAAAATATCAATCTCTAAATCTAGAAATGAACATAGTTCTTATAAAGATTTATCAAAAACATCAATATCTAAGTCCAGAAATGAACACAGTTCTTATGAAGTTTTATCAAAAATACCGAATGTACCTGGTACGTATTATTCTTATTGTTGTTATTGATTATTTTTATCAATATTTCTCATAAAAACATTTATTTTTTCTTTAGAATACTTTGCTTTTACGGAAAGCGGAGAAGGATTAAGAACAATTATTATGCCGATTAATATACGTGATAAGTTTATACAGATATCGGCTCCAAATACTGCCAAAAATTTAGAAACTTGCGGTGTTTTATGTGGAAAATTGGTACTTTAATATATTAATATATATATATATATATATATTTAAAATAAACTACAATAATAACACTCTACACACACACACACACAGTCACATAATTATTTCACAATGACTTCATTAGTGATTCCAAAACAAATATCTACATCTGATTCATGCACAATGACAAATGAAGAAGAATTATTGAAATATGTTGAAAGAAATGGATTATTAACACTTGGATGGATACATGTAAAGTGATAAAGAATAATTGAATTAATTTTATTATTATATATTTATTTATTAAATATTAATATATTTATTAGACTCACCCAACACAAACTTGTTTTATGAGTTCAATGGATTTACACACACATTCTGTCTACCAGGTAATATTACCTGAAGCAGTAGCAATTGTGTGTGCTCCAAGTAAATCACCAAAGTTTGTATTTTTCCCTACTGTTGAACTTTGTTTCTTAATAAACAGCTATTTAATACTTATTTAATAATTACAGCTTTGGAATATTTCGTTTAACCAATCCACCAGGATTGCAAACTATACTTCAGTGTGTAAGAAGAGGTTTTCATCCACATAATTCTAATGAGAAAATTGATAAAGTAAGTGGGGAGATTTGATAAAATAAAGTAATATCTCGTAAGACTATTGACGGCTATTATTGATGTTATCATTACAATTATAGGAAATATCAAGTTATGGTCATGTTGTAATGGAAAAAATAGATTTAACTGTGGTTGATTTAAGACGAATTAACAAGAAGTTTTAGGAGATATGCATGTATACACTAATAATTATTAATTATTAATGTTGCCATATAGAGAGATATACAAAGGATTTGGAATTAATTTATTATATATAATACTTGGAAATAATTGTATAAAGTAATTAAAAATTTATTTATTTATTTTTAATAGAATCTCCAAAAAAAGATTGACTACTACTGCTGTTAATAATTCATGAACAATTATAAACCCAACTCGGCTATTTAATAATTAATAGTTTCAATATAAAGATAGTAGAAAATTCGATTAAAGCTTTAAAAATATTAGTCGTAGAAATTTATTGGCTTTGCAGATCATTTAATTCACATGACATTAATATGTTAACCTCTAAGTGCACCCTCCTTAGGCTGAGTATTTAGAGAAACAATGTATAAAAACATGTCATTATCAATAATAATATCATCCTTATGTCAACCTTAATTAAATGAAACAGATTTTGTGCTGAAATCCACGGGTGTGCATTGCGCTTATTATTATCTCTAAAGTTCAAACTTGCGACTGAAAGTCAAAGTAATTAAACGACTAAGGATCCATATTCAATAAAACAAAATCAACAAAATAATAATAATAAATTGACGAAAATGTATATTTTATGATCATACAAAGTATATATATTGTTTCTTGTCTTTTTATCTTATAAAGGTGAATCCTTTTACCCATCTCAAGAAGTACTAATAAAATAACCATCATTAGAATTGTCAAGCTTCAGAGAAATTATTAAAAACATCAAAATAATTGTAATTTTTTATTGTTAAGTTATAAATTTATCATTATTGTAAAATTAATGCATATGGATGGGTGACGGATGCTTTTGATTCTCTCTGACATTAGTATTGTTTCATGCATTATATAAAGTATAATTTTTTTGATTAATTAGTTATAAAAATTAATTGATCCTATAATTTAATGTTTATGCAGATGATGAATATTTCTACAATCACTATTTCTATAGTTTTGTCATCAATATCATATATTTACTGTATATAATATAGTTGTGAGAAGTTCTTTGAGTTGTTTGTTTATTAAAAAAAAATTAATAGGAATAAAAGTTTTCATTCCCATTTATTTATAAGTAGAAGTAACAGTAGATATTTTGATTTGAATTATTTAACAATAGTTACATATTTTAATATGCGAACGAATCAATTGTTTATAAATATACAGAACACTGGTTTGTATAATAAAAAATAAAAATAAAAACACAATATTATTTATTTTGATTATATAGTTTGTTTCTCCGATTGACTTCAATTCTTCTTTATAATTTACATAATATCACAGTAATTTGCGGCGTTATGGGTTTTTCAGTTGCATTATTTGTTGAAGATGATGAAGTGTCATTATTATTGGTGGGAGTTTGAGTGATGTCGGTAGTTGATTTCATATTTGGCGTTTTTTAAATTTTTTTTTTTTTTTTGTTGTTGTTGCGGGAATTCAATTTGGTTGAAAAGTGAGGTTATTTATAAGAAGCTTCACAATACAAATTAAATCTTGTTTTCAATTATGTTTAGAAAAAAATTATTTTAATTGCTTTTTTTGTTTATCAACACAAACTATGAGAAGTATTATTAGTATTGTATCAGTATAAAATGTAACTTGAATATTCAAATAAAGGTTAGTTATTATTTGAATTGATTCAAATAACAAGTAACATTTAAAAAAGGTTCAATTTATATATTTTACTTAAGGAGGAAATTCTCTATAATTTGTAAAATCAAAATTATAAAAATAGTATTTCTTTTATTATTTACTACACCTATAGTGGTGGCAATGTGATTTGTTTTTTGTACACTGTGAATAATAGAACACGAGTTCTCGGAAATAAGAAACAACCTTTAGAACATATAAATAACGTTGTAATTTCTCAGTTATTTTGTTGTTTTCATCCTTTTCTACCCTTTATCACACAATTATATCCACATATATAATAATAAATATAATAAGCATAAAAATAAACTAGTCTTCCGTATAATTATTTTTCTTTATTTTTTTTTTATTGTTAGAGAGGAATTGTTAGAGAGAGGTATTATGTAGCGAGATTTGTTTAGTGAGGTATTGTTTATTGAAGTGTTGTTTAGCGAGAGTAAACATATTAATATATTTATTTGTGTCTCAGACACGAACTTACAACACTGAAATTTTTTTACGGCCAGTTACAAAAAAAAAAATATTTAAAATGAAAAAAAGTTTTTTTAACCCAAATGATGATGATTTTATAAACCCAAATTTTATAGAAGTAGGTGTACCAACGGAATACAGTTTTTTTAACCCAAATGATGATGATTTTATAAACCCAAATTTTATAGAAGTAGGTGTGCCAACGGAATACAGTTTTTTTAACCTAAATGATGATAATTTTATAAACCCAAATTTTATAGAAGTAGATGTACCAGAAATATATACACCAGATATACCAGAAATAATATTTATATAGTTGGCTCAGTCTAAAGACCTCCTAAATTTTGGGCAAATTTTAAAAGTATAGAAGTCATTTTCTGTCCTATCTTTTAAAAAAATAGCTCTATTAATTGATAGAATATGTATTTAATTTTAATGTAATAAATAGTTTTTCTCAAAAAAAATCATTGGGAATGGAATGTCTGTTAGAGAAATTTTTATTTTATTTTATTTTTACGTGGTAATTAAAAAAATTTTTGAATTCACATAAATTTTGGGGTATCTAAAATCCACATGCCAAATTTTGTAATAAAATTTTTTTCTATATATTAATATGTGAATTTGAATTTCAATTTTCACATACGGTGCTGATCATCTATAATAATTAATTGCTTATATGGTTGGCTCGGCCTAAAGCAGGGTTGGCAAATTGACTGGTCCATTGAGAACAGATGGATTTTGGACTGGTCCCATTGCCATTAATAAAATACTAAATATGGTTAAAGTGTCACACTAATGGACCCAATGGACACCAATAGACCATCAATGGATCGCACATTTGCCAACTCTGGTCTAAAGACCTCCTATTGCTGTGCCATGCGCTCAAATTTCGAAAATTGCAATTTCGTGATTCGTTCAAAAATGCAATAAAATTTTTTAAAAAAGGGTTACACGTGATTTTGGTTAAAAAACTATTATCTTACTGCCAAATTTAGATATGATGGTCGAGTATTAGGCTAAATTTAGTAATAATAATCAAATCTAGTCTAAATTTAGCAATGATCCTAGCGCTCAAATTTCTCATGAGCATAGTAAAGTACATGTTTTAAAAAAGAATAGAACTCTACAATAAATAATTTTTTGGAGAAAATCTCTTCATTACATTAAAAGTAGAAACCTATTTTACCAACCAATGAGGCTATTTTTTTAAAAGGTAGAACAGAAAATGACTCTATACTTTTAAAATTTGCCCAAAATTTAGGAGGTCTTTAGGCCGAGCCAACTATAGTAACAATTAATTGGTCAACCTCAAAATACAAAAACAAAAAAAAATTATATCATTTTAAAAACTTAACCGACAAGTTTTATTGTTCATGACTCAAGCTTCAAAACTTATTGGCTGGTTTTTTCTTAAACTAAAAATTGGCAGAGCCTTAGCATTTTGAAAATTCCGAATTTTTTTATACATTTAAGAAATTGAGACTAAGTAAATTTCGTGTAACAAATTTTTTTTCATAGAATATTTTCTACAACATACATCTGATTTATTTGATTTATTTATTTCCTTTACAACAAAAAACTTTTAACGAACATAAAAGAAAATCATTACCAAATTTGGTCGCGAGATTCAAAATATTGTATTGCATGAAAATTATTGTTGCACTTCTGAGCATGACTTTCAAATTTAAAAAATCTATGAAAAGAAAATTTGAGACAAAATTTTTTTTTTAAATTAATAGACTCCCTTTTTAAAGCTGAATTGAATGGTGGTGGTTTTTTTAAAATCCAATGTGTGGATCACATAGTATTTCAAAAATTTTAACTTTTGAGTATAGATGATGATGTGGATTTCAAATTCAATTTCGATTTCACGCACAACAACCATGCAGCAACATAACAAATTAATATGAATAAGGAAGTGGAGTTTCTATTTGCAATACTAATACTAAAATCTCATTAGAATTATTCGTTTTATTCGAATAAACATTCATAATAAATAATAATAACGAATAAAACAAATAAAAACCCTATCGGAAGAGTACATATACTAAAATACATGAATTAAAAACTGCCAACTAAATTATTCCGCATTTGACATTAAAAGAATAATAGTAATAGTATATACGCACTACACAAGAAATTTTTCCCTCTCACAACATACTTCCACCTCCTAATACTAATAGTAATAGGCGTAATATGTACACAAATTAAATTTTTTTCTGCACGGCGCACCACACAAGAAATTTTTCCCTTTCACAACATACTTCCACCCCCCTAATACTGACACTTAGAGAAAATTTAAGCTCCTCATTTATTAACTTCATAACCAACTTCATATACTCTTTAAAATATACCATTAACATCCACCAACAACTACAATTACCAAAGACCGGTCGGGATGACATTTTAAAATAAATAAATACCCATTTCACTGATTGGTTGAAGTCAACCTTTACGTATTAAGGATGGGTGGTTCCAAATAAATTGTTAATTCTAGAACTGATTTTTTCCTTACAAGCTCCTAATTAAACTTTGTTTACAATAATGATTTAATATAATTTACTTATTGGAGGGAGATAGTAACAACTTTCTTGATAATTTGAATCTTCTGAATTATTGGAATTTGGAACTGATCTTAAGCTAGTTTTAATGTAAATATATTGTGTTTAATTCGAATACTCAAATTTATAACTCCGCATTTGACATTGTACATTATATTAAAAAGCTTGTTGTTGCAATAGTTAACAACTTTAAAAAAAAAATTTCTCGGCATGGCATATTACACAAGAAAATTTTTCCCTTTTACAACATGCTAATACTTCCACACTTTAAAGAGAAATTTTAAGCGCCCCATCCCTACGTTACATATAAATAGCATTGTAATTTTCTTATCTTCATTTTTTTTAGTTGTTTTGTTGTCTTCATCCTCTTGTATCTTCATAATAAATCTATTTTTGACCATAAAAAAAATAATTTCGTGTAATTATTTTTCTTCATTTTTTTTTCATGAGATTATAACATATATATTAGTATTAGTGGAACACTGAAAATTCAAAATTCAAAATTCAAAATTCTCAATTCTTAATTTTTTTAAAAAAAATGGAAAAAAATAATCTTAGCTCAAATGAAATTATAGAAATAATAACTGATAAAATTATGGGAGATAAAACATCAATCATGAAAGGAGAAGATAATCATAATTCTAATTTAAATATAAATATAACTATTCCACATAATAAATGTCCTGTTGATGAAATAAAGTATAGTCCTAATTTAAATTTTTTAGTGACTAATAGTGAGGAAGATTCATCTATTGTTGGATGGACAGTTGATCTTGACAAAGAAACTATCCAGCAAGATAAAGATAACTACTTTAAATATTCTACAAAGGATTTTAATCATTCTCATGTTTACATAAGAGATATTTCTGATAACCAATATATAATTTTACATGGTGGGAATAATAGATGTCATAGTAAGTAATTATTAATTAATTAATACATGTATTTTATTATTATAACAACTAAATATTAAATCATTTAAATCATTTTTAGGATTCCTTAACTTTACAAAAAAAAAATACAGTGACTTTATAATTAATGGTAAAACATGCAATGAATGTTTTTACATTGGAAAATTTATTACAAATAATGATTTATTGATGATTAAGAGGGATGATTCTAATATCTACTATTTGTACAATTTTTCATATGACAATGATAAATTGGTTCATAAATCAACATATCATTATCATATGATTAATAAGCCAAAATTTCGGCCTAAGATTTTTGTAAATTCTGGCAATCTTTTAATTAGTTCATATAATTTATTTATATCACAGTGGAAAGGTGTAACAATGTCATATCAAGATAATTATTATTTAGCATATGGATATAGAAATAATATTATAACTAATATTATTAATAATATTATATTTAATAAAGATAAAACAATAATGGCATTATATTATAAAGGCCAATCAACATTAATTGTATATTCATTAAAAAATAATGTGATTATTTCCGCAAGTAAGTATTTATATATTATTATTTGCATGTTACATTAATCTATAAATTTAATAAATATATTTTCTATTTTATAGCTCAATTGGAAAATAATATTGATATGAAAAAATATGGTTTTATTTATCCAACAGATCAATTAGAATATTTGTTAGTAATATATTATCATGAAATACAAAAGGCTATAATTATAAATTAATGGACCCTTATAATCTTGATGATTTTATGGATATTACAAAGTATTTTAATGAATATCATTTAGAAAATACAAATGAAAATAAATGCAAAAAAAATATTTTATTTGGACCAATTTCACCACATGGTAAAATAATCATAGCTATAGACAATCAATTATACATTAAAGAAATAATCAACAAAGAAAAATTAGATGGTATTCAACAAATAATGCATTTAAAAAATAATTATTGTTTACATGTAATGCAAGGATTACAAGAAATGGTTAAAACATTTAAGCAACCTGTAAGACCACCAAAAATTACTATAGAAAATGGGAAATTAATTAAATGGTCAATAGAATATGATGATAAATTTAAAAATATTAATATAAAAGCACAAAAAATTAATTGTGGAATGGATGAATTAAAAATTGATGAATATGGTCTTAGAAGTTTTTTTAAATTTACTTGTTGTAAATTATTAAATAATGATGATTTAATTATATACATAGATAATCATACAATATGTGTTTTATCAGTTAACAAAGATTATAGAATATTTACAAAGTTCAGAAAATTTGTAAAACTGGATGATATTTGATTAGCTATTAAGAAAAATGAACTTGAAGATTATTTATTTGATTTTGAAGATTGTTTTTTATATATTGAAAGTTCATATATTGATAGGCATCAAATTTATAGACAACCTTTTAAAGAAATGTTTGATATGATCAATGAGCTTTATTATTTCAACAAATTTGGAAAGAAGATGTTAAAGAAAGCATTAGATGATAATAATAATATTGCAGTAGAAAAAGTTTTTGATTCTTGTCTTAGTCATTTTATAAAAGATACTGAGTTAAATATTAGTTTATTAAAAATGATTATATTAGAATTACCAAGATTAGAAAAAAATCACTCTGCTTTAATATCAAAATTCTTTAGTCAGACTTCAGTCATATTATTTCCATTTGAGAGAATTTTTTACAATGATGTAAATAATTTCCATGATGCTATAGGTATTGAAAAATCAATTTATAAAGAAAAAAGCTTTTGGGATTTTTATTA